GGGAAATGAAGTTCTGAACCGAGGCATTCCCTGCACGCCGCTCACAGAAAGTAAACTACTTCTCCCATCATGCCACACCAGGAAACAGGAAAACAATATCAGAGAGATGGGGAGGCCGCAGAGGCTGTGCTAGAGTGGCACTTTTTTGGTGCGAGAGCGGGAGGGGTAGTTTACGAGTGGAGTCCAATGTGCTTTGCTCCTCTACGGCAGCCGGAAGGCGGTGACGGAAGCCAAGGCCGCTTCTAGTCTTGCTGAAGTGGCGTCGTGACAGCGGCCACCAGCAAAGGCCGACTCTCGATTTGGGTTCGCAAGAAACGGAGTTATCCAGATGAGAGGATGAACTTACTTTAGTGACCCAATGGAAATGAATGTAGATATCCTATTAACAAAAGAGAACGTGACTATTAAACAGTGATTTACTACCGGTCTGCAGCTAATTTACAGGTAGACAGTTTCACTGAAGGTGAGGGAGCATATGTAGGGAAAAGGTCAGATTGAAGGGAAGTAAGAAGGCTAAGAGTTTGGCAATAAGTATATGCTTTAGGAGGAAGTGCATATCAGTAATTGAGAAAGGGATACTTCTTACTTGTTTCTCCATCCCTTTAAGAATTATTACTACCTGGGGTGCCTGGCTGGCTCAATCGAAGAGCATGTGACTGTTGATCTCGAGGTCATGAGGTCCAGCCCCACCTTGGGTGTAGAGATTACTTAAATAAACTTAAAAAAAGAATAATTAATACCTAATGGCACTTGTGAGTTAGGCACTGTTCTAACAACTTTATGTGCATATATATATATATATATATATATATATATATATATATATATATATATATATATATATATATATATATATATAAATTCTTAAAACTCCTACGGAGGTTCTAGACATTTTGAAGCTAGGCCCTGCAGCTTCTCCTCAGGCTTCTTGGAACGCTCTGGTAGCTCAGAGCAGCCACATAAGAAGTCTCACCACCTCGCCATGCTGAAGAAGTTTCATGTTGACACTCTGGCTGACAGTTCCAGCTTTCCCGTCATCCCCATCAAGGTGTAAGATATGCAAGAGAAGCTCTCCAGACCAATCCACCTGCCTGCTGAATATCACTAAATGACCTTAGCTAATGCCACATGGGATAGAATAGCTGCCCAGCTGAGCCCTGTCCAAATTTCTTTCCCATAAAATGTGAGCTATAAGAAAGTGGTTACTTAACAAAATACAAACAATGAGCTCGGTTCTCTCATTCTTGTTTTACAGATGGGAAAACCGAGGCACAGAGAAGTTACTTTATGCCAGGCACTATACAAGGCATTGAAGATACAATTATCAATAAAACAGATACAGGCTTCTGCCTTAGCAGAGCTCACAGACTTCCTCGGAAGTCAGAAAAGTATCTTTAAAGTTTCATGAAAGTCAGGGCGCCTGGCTGACTCAGTTGCAAGAGCAGGCAACTGTTGATCTCAGGGTCATGGGTTCAAGCCCCACATTGAGTGCAGCGATTACTTACATAAATAAATAAGTGAACTTAAAAAAAAATTAAAGTTTCATGAAAATCATAAGGGGGCATGTAAAACTTGCTGTGGGAGCTCCTAGTTAGGGCCTCTACCCAATTCTAAGTGGTTGAGAGAGGGCTTCTTGTGCAAGTGACCTTTCAGCTGAGATCAGAATGATAAGTAAAAGTTAGCCAGTAAAGATTGGTGGGATTGGAGAGGAAGTGTTTCAGGCAGAGGGAAAAAAAAATATATGCACAGGACCAGAGACCTCAGTGCACTTCAGGAATGTGAGGAATTAGTGTATGGCGAGAGTTTAGAGTTTGTGGTAGGGAGCATGAAAAGGTTGGGCTCAAGGGAGAAAGTCTCTGTAAACCATACTGTAACATCTGGACCTTACTCTGAGGACAATGAGAAGCCTTCAAAAGGTTAAGTCGGGAGTAGCAGGGCATTTTTGTGCTTTAGAAAGGTCACTCTGGCTGCTGGACCAGGAATGGACTGGAGGTGGGCAGGACTATATGCAAAGAGACCGTTAGGAGGTTCTATTATCCAGGCGAAAGAGGATGATAGTTGTAGAGGTTAAAGGAAGTAGGTAGATTGAAAAGATTTAGTAATCAGTTAAATATGAGTAGTGAGAAAAGAGAGAAATGAAGGTTGGCTGCCAGGTTTCTGGCATGGATCAATTGGGTACAACCTGTATGTGCTGCCACAGCTGATAGTATTTTTCTTATCATAGTGATTATCATACTGTATTTTGTTATGAGAAGGCAGGAGCCATATTGGTCATCTTAAATGACAATGCCTAGCACACAGTTCCTGCCTAGCACGGGTGGCAGTAAGCATCCAATATTTATTGAACTTAAATTTAACTGAATAGTGGTGCTGGAGGAGAAACAGGTTTGGCCGGGGCCGGGGTGGGGGTGGGGGTGGGGGTGGGGAGGGGAGCTGACAAGTTCAATTTAGAACATACTATGTTTGGGGGCGCCTGCGTGTCTCAGTCGGTTAAGCGTCCGACTTCAGCTCAGGTCACGATCTCGCAGTCCGTGAGTTCGAGGTCACGATCTCGCGGTCCCTGAGTTCAAGCCCCACGTCGGGCTCTGGGCTGATGGCTCAGAGCCCGGAGCCTGCTTCCGATTCTGTGTCTCCCTCTCTCTCTGCCCTCCCCCATTCATGCTCTGTCTCTCTCTGTCTCAAAAACAAATAAACATTAAAAAAAATTAAAAAAAAAAAAGAACATACTATGTTTGTACTACTTTGAGCATTGTGAAATATCCAAATGGAGTTTTTCAGTGGACCATGGATTAAACTGGAGTTCCACAGAAAGATCCGGACTGGAGATAGGGTGCTCACCGGCACATGGAGGTCATTGAAGCTGGGGAGAGAATAAGACCACATAGATTGTGTAGAGAGTGCAAAGGACATAAGATCTTAGGCAGAACTCTGGGGTTTAAGGAACAACAAAAGTCCTTCCTTATGCAACAGAGAAGGAACTGCTAAGAAGGTAAGGACACCAGAAGTGTTTGTAGGAGAAAATAGTCGATTGTGTTGGCTGCTACTAAGATGTCAAGCAACATAAGGACCGCAGCGTCCCTGTAAAGTCAGGGGGGACCCTAGTGAGGAAGAACCTTGCAGAGGTGAGGGAGTGAGAGGAGAGAAATGGTGACCCCATATGTAGGTAATTCTTCCAAGAAATTTGACTGTCAAGGCGCCTGGATGGCTCAGTCGGTTAAGCGTCCGACTTTGGCTCTGGTCATGATCTCACAGTTCGTGGGTTCAAGCCCATATCAGGCTCCACACTGACAATGTGGAACCTACTTGGGATTCTCTCTCCCTCTCTCTCTCTGCCCTTCCTCCACTTGAACTTTCTCTCTCTTTCTCTCAAAAATAAAAAAAAATGAAATAATTTAAAAAAAAAGTTTGTAAAGAGGGTGGTAACTGAAGAGTACAGTAAAGAGAGATTCATCTAAACCTCCATCTGAAGGAGGCCATCTAAAGATGGCTGAGACTTGAATATGTTTAAAAGCTAAGGGGAAAGAGTCAATAAAGAGGGAGAGGATAAAGTGCAGGAAAGATGGAAGAAAAGATAGAAGAGGATGAGACTGGAACACTTAGAAAACACCGGATGAATGAATGATGAATAAATGGGATGAAGTTGATCACTATTTTGGAGGTGGGAAGGAATAGTTGAGGGGTAGGGTTCTCCGCATTTTGAAAGTGGAGCGAACTAAGGAGGAAGATATCACTGAGGCCCAATCCCAGTCCTGGGAACCAGCCCTCAGATCGCGTGTCAGGGGAGGAGAGTTGGCTCTCTGATGTCACCAAGGGGGAGGTGCACTCCCTACCTACCTCTCCAAAGCCAAACAGCCTCACATTGTGCAGTGGGGAAACTGAAAGAACGGGAAAATAAGAGTGGTTAGGTAAGGAGAAAGCCTCAGCATGTGTTTTAAAGCTCTGGCAACTGACAGAAGTCCACTCCCACCTTCCACCGAGGAAAAGCCGACAGCAGTGCCCCCTTCCTCCCTCCCCCCAAATGCTATCGTAGCACCCTGTGACCTTGTCCACAGGCCTTGATTCAACTGTAGCAAATTTATTGTCATTAGTTAAGATCTGTCTGTAAGCTCCAAGAGGGCCAGGGCTGTGCCTGTCTTCCTCTCTCTTATCTCCAGTGCCTGACACTGTTCCTTTCACACAGGAGGTGCTCAGCCAATCCTTAGTCACAGCATGAGTGAATGAACCCACACACTGAAGAAGGACTCTGCCCAAAGGGCTTTCCTACAGAGGGTTGTTTCAGGCCTCTCAGCTCCCAAAACACATCCTGGATTGAGAGGATGGTGGTATTTGCACCTTTTCCTCTAACTTGGAACCCCTCTGTGTTTCTCCCAGCCACTTTCTCTTCCTCTCTACTTTCGTCGTATTGTTATTGCTCTGGCTCTGTTTCTCTGTCTCTCTGTCTCAGAGTCTGCACAGGAAGCACGCCGCTTTAGGTCTGAGGCTATTGGTAACGGAAACATTGGTGCCTGTGTAAATTTCATAAAGGTCACAAACTTTTTTTATCTTTGTCGTTCATTCCTGTCTCTTTGCCTGTGTTCTGTCTCAGACCTGATTCTTTCTCATCTTCTTGGGTCCAGCTCAAAAGTCCTGCCACCACCACCCAGGACCAGCTCCTGCTGCCTGTGGATTTGCTGATGGGCCTCAGAAGGTACTTGGAGGAAAATCACAAAGCTAGCCCCTCTCCTCTGATTTCCTGCCTTGCTGGCCTCATAGCTCTGCTGACCACATCCTCTCTCACCTTACTTATATAGTTCCTCACCAGTCACATCCCCCAGGTGTTCTCAGCCCCCCAAACCTGTCACTGACACCCACCCAGGCTCTCTGCTTTACTCTCTGCTCTCATTCTGAGCTCCCTGACCTTACCTTTCCCCCAACACTGTTCTTGGAACCATGTCCCTCTGCTTGGAAGCAGCCAGTTGTGTCCTTTTCTGGATCTCCAACAGCTCTTTTTCCTACAGGTGACAGTACTGACCACAATGCTGTCAGGCCGGTGGTGGCCAAGTACCTGGGGGAGCCTCGGGCTGGGATCCCGAAACCCTTCTCAGGGATCCCAGCTCTGCGCCCTCTATGCCTTCACTTACACTGGGGCAGATGGCCGACAAGTGTCCCTGGCTGAGGGGGACAGGTTCCTACTGCTTCGAAAGACCAACTCAGACTGGTGGTTGGCAAGGCGCCTGGGAGCACCCTCTACTTCCCGACCCATCTTTGTCCCAGCTGCCTACATGGCAGAGGAATCTATCTCTTCCCAGAGACCAACCACCATCACCTCCAGCCAATCCCTCTGGATTCCTGGTAAGTACCTCTTTCACTTTCCTACCTCGCCAGCTTCTAGGAATTACTGGAAGGATCTCCCTCCCTCAAAGCTGACCCCCTTCTCCTATTTACCTCTGGTCAGCCTACTTTTCATTCCCATCACGGTGGCCCCCATTGCCCCTCCTCCTAGTCTCAAGCTTTCTAGGTCTCATGTACTTTTTCACAGCCTCCCCCACTCTTGTCTTCCCCGTGAACCCCTGGGATGACTGATGCAGCCAATATCACCTCTCTGATCACCTGCCCCCCCCCCACTCTTCCCATTTCTCTGTTTCTAGGGCCAAAGTTGTTTCCTGGCTCCCTGGAGGAGCTGCACCTGTCTCAGGAACCCCCAGGCAGAGCCCAGGCCACCTCTAAGCAGCCTCCTCCTCTGCCCCCCAAAATGTGTAGAAGTGTCAGTGTTACCAATTTGAGGCCTACCCTTCTGAAGCCCTTTCAGGAAGGAGCAAGTGGAAGATCCCTCTCTCAGGAAAACTTGCTGACAGAGGCCGATGCTAACCCGGTGAGTCACAGCTCTTCTGAGTGCAGTCAGCAGTTATTTACTGCTGGGCCTTGTTCTAGGCACAATGGCAAACAAGGCAGACAGAATCTTTGCCCTCAAGGGATTTCCATGGAGGTGACAAACACATAAACCAATAACGGTTGGTATTGATAAGTGCCACCAAGAAGCATAAATATGGTAGGGAGTGATGGAGGGGATCTGGGAAGGCATCTCTGAGGAAATGACATGTAGCTGAATCTGAATGAGGAGGAAGAGACTGCCATGAACCAAACTAGGAAATGAGAAGGAGTTCTAGCTGAGGGATAGCAAGTAGCAAAGATCCTGAGGATACACGGAACCTGGCATGTGATAGAGGGACAGTTAGAAAGCCAACAAGCTATGTTGTTCTCTCTTCCTCCAGATTCCTGGCCCAGGGCAGCATTTTTCCTGTGTCCCATCTTGCCAGCTCAGGTCACCAACAAGTCCCATTTAGAGCTGTAACTCCCTTGCTCTTCCCGGAGACTCAGCTCCTCCCCTCTCTCTTACTTGCTAGTGGATGAAAAATGGCCCCCTCTCTCATACTCCCCTAGCAGGGGTCTCTGACACCTCTCCCTCTCTCCCCCATCAATCCGGAGGATGTGAGGGTGGGGCACTCCCCTCAACCCTCCTCCCCCCCCCCCCCCCCCCTGCAGAAGTTTGTGGTTCTCCCTTCTTCCTGAGGCCCCTGCAGGGGGCGGGTAGGGGAGGAGGGAAGTTGGCAACAGGAAGTGAGGAGAAAAGCAAAGACTAAGGGAGGGAGTAAAAAAAAAAAAAAAAAACCAACCAGCTGGGGACTGGGGTTTCTTCCCCAGTACTTGGGTCACCCCAGCCAGGAGCTGGGGGTAAGAAAACAGTGGGGGAGAGAGGAGGAGATGGTTAGGTGGAGAGAAGATTGGGGACGAGCACAGGCAGAATAACTACCTTTTTCTTCCCCCTTTGCTGACAGGCAAGACCCCAGCCCCTCATGTCAGAGCACCCTGTGTACTGCAACCTAGTGGACCTTCGCCGCTGTCCCAAGTCTCCTCCCCCAAGCCCTGCGTGCCCCCCGCTGCAGAGACTGGACGCCTGGGAGCAGCACTTGGACCCTAACTCTGGGCGCTGCTTCTACATAAATTCGCTGACTGGCTCCAAGTCCTGGAAGCCCCCGCGCCGCACTCGCGTGCGAGAGATGGTGAGACTTTCCCTCCAGCTTGTTCCTTTGTCCCCTCAATCTCCTTCTTTTCCCTACTGAACCCCAAAGTAGTGTGTTTTCTCTCTTGGGCCCCATAAGAAAATTGTAAGAAGGGTGTTGAGACCGGGTTGAGATGGCATCTGGTCGTAGCTTTACTCCCCCCATCCCCCAACACCAGAACCTTGGCTCCATGGAGGGGACGCAGACCCGGAATAGGGGCAACGGTGTCCTGCAACCTCAGACAAAGGGCTCAGAATCTGAAACAGGGAACCCAGAACTGCTTGGCCCCCAGGTGAGACCTCCCCCCTTCCTGATCGCATGCAGGAAAAGTCATCTTTTTACTACTCTCTTTTATGCAAGACATTCTTCTTCCTTACCCATCACACCCCCAGCCTCTCACCCACATCCGCAGGCTTCTTCCCCCTATAGCCAGGAACTCCGAAGTTCAAGTTTCCTCCACTTGTTCCTCCAATCCCCTCCCCCAGGGTTCACTCTCCCACTGCCAGCACACCTCCCAGCTCCACCCCTCAGACCAGCCAGCAGCCTTGCAGCCCACTCGACCTCTGCCGCAGGTCTTGGACGACCCGCATGTAAGTGTCCCATTTCCTTGTGCAGGCCAAGATCCTCACTGCCCTACCCCCCAATTCCTGCTCCTCTAGATACATCTTCCTCTTTCTGCGTGTTGGCTGGGTATCCTCTCTTACCCAGTCTCCCCCATCCCCCAACCGTAAAGGACCTCACTCCTGGGACACCTCCTTGGGAACGCTGTGGCCGCTGGGGAGGGGCGCTGGGTGCCTTATTGACACCCCTCGCTCCACTTCTCAGGAGGTGGAAAAGTCGGGTCTGCTCAACGTGACCAAGATCGCCCAGGGGGGGCGCAAGCTCAGGTGACGAGAACCGGGAATACAGCTGGGGCTTGGGCGTCTAGATTCTGTATTGTGGAGCGGAGTGCGGGGAGAGCGCCCTCCCCACGTGATTCTAAATGACTTTTGCACTACTACCACTGCCGCCCCCCTCCCCTGTAGGAAGAACTGGAGCTCATCTTGGGTGGTGTTAGCGGGTAACAGCTTGGTGTTCTACCGGGAGCCGCCGCCCGCCGCGCCCTCCTCAATCTGGGTGAGTGTGAGGGAGGGGAGGAGGGGGCGTGCAGGAGGCGTTTGGGCACTTCTACTCCCGCGAACTGTGGGGAGGAGGTGGGGAGGGGGTAAAGGGAAGAGCACAGCCTCCCACGTCTGCAGCCCGGGTGGGAGGGAGTAATGAGGGGAACAGCGCCGTTGGCCTCAGTTTCTCCCAATTGCCAGGGACCATGGTAGTCGACCTGAAAGCAGCGCGACTCAAGGCCGGGCAAACCCTGGTTCATCGTCGCCACCTGTCCAGCAGTCAGCCGCGAACGTCTCTGCACGGAGTGCCCTCCACGCCCCCAAAGCTCCACGCTAATCTCGGTAACAAGGCGCCTCCCCAGTTTCTTCACAAGGGTGTCCTGCTCGCCTCCTCGTTTTTTATGCCCTTCCTCTGGTTGAAGCCCTTCCTCCGCTGGGGATGGCTCAGATCCGCCATCGGTCCCCTTGGCTCACGAAAGGTTCGCTGCTGCAGTCAGAATACACGAGACCGGAAGTTGGTGAAAGGCCTGGCACCGCGCAGGCCACAAGCGGGCGCGGCGGTCATCGAACGCCTGGTGAGCTGGATGGGAGGTGGCGGGACGGAGCCCGGGGCACAGGGAGTGGGGAAGAACAGTAGGACGGTAGGCTGGTAGGAGGCTGGGCAGGCGGGCGTAGTGCCCTGGAGTGTGGTGGGGGGAACGCGGAACCCCGGCAGCCGGTTAAGGTCTCCCCAAGGCCGAGCTGAGGGTGCAGATTTCACTCTTCTCTTTCCCAACCTCCTACTCGCCCCCCCCCCCCCCCCCCCCGCCGCCATGTTCGGTGTAGGATCGAGAACCCCCTGAGCTGGCGCCTGTCAGGGTTCGCTGGGACCTCGCGAGAGCTGGAGGAGCTGAGCGGCGGAGAGGAAGACGAAGAGGAGTCGGAGCCGGTGTCCAGGCCACTGCTGCGGATCGGCGGCCGCGGGAGCTCTCGTGAGCGGCCCGGGAGGTCCTAGGGTGGGCGGGGCCCGGGAACGCGTCTCCGGGCTCCGTCCGGGCGTCGGCTCTCACGCCCTGATTCCACCTGCCTCCTGCAGGTCGGTGTCCTGAAGGAAACGAACAGAACCGCGTGCGGAACAAACTAAAGCGCCTTATCGCAAAGAGACCGTCCTTGCAAAGCCTGCAGGAGCGTGGTCTGCTCCGAGGTGAGGTGGGCTGAGCCGGCCATCACCCTTCTCCTTCGTACTTGCTGTAATATATTTGCAGGCACTTTTATAGTCCTGATCTGGGCATCCGCCCACTTTGGGGATGAGAAAATTTCAGTGAGCAGAGCTTCCCAGAACTAGGTCAGTGGTCTTCAGAGACCACTACTGTCCCCTACACCTGTTATTTTTTGGGGGGAAGGAGTGTACCTCCTAGAGTACAGGCCTAGAAAAGGCAGCCAGGAGGGCCAGCCCAACTTTAGGGTGAAAACCTGTGCTGAGAAGAGCTTCCGTGGGCGATGCTGCCACTGCTTCCCAACTCGCCTCTTTGCTTCTCCAGACCAGGTGTTCGGCTGCCAGTTGGAATCACTGTGCCAGCGGGAAGGGGACACCGTGCCCAGCTTTGTGCGGCTCTGCATTGCTGCTGTGGATAAGAGAGGTCACTTTCCAGAGACCGCACAATCCACCCCTTCCAACAGGCCAAGGCCTGGAATTCCCCACCTCCCCCACCTTAGTCTCCCTCCTGCATTATTTCTCTCCACCCTTGGGTCTCTCACCAGTCCTCACCACATACAACTTAGAGCAGGAATCCTTATCTGCTCCCTGCCTCATCTCCTAGGTCTAGATGTAGATGGCATTTACCGAGTGAGTGGGAACTTGGCGGTGGTCCAGAAACTTCGCTTCCTGGTGGACAGAGGTGAGAAGACTTACGGGCGAGTGGTGGTACTAAGAATTTCATGCCTCGGAACCACAGGCAGTTCTGAATGAGGGAGCTGACAGAGCAGGGAGATCTGGCTAGAACTGCATGACTTAGCTCTTGATCTCGTCTCATCCATGTTGCAGAGCGGGCGGTCACCTCCGATGGGAGGTATGTGTTCCCAGAACAGCCAGGACAAGGTACTTACGTGGGAGGCTCCTTAGACCCTTAAAACATCCGACATCTTCCCTGCTCCCTGTGGATCTCCCCATGTCTTGCTCCTGGGAGGGTTGTCCCCAAGCCCACCTCTGCTGCCTTGACCCTCTGTGAACCTCCTAAGTATTCCTGTGGTCTTCCTTACCTGGATCTTCTCCCAAACTCCTGACCTCTCTGTCTTTGGCTCTCTCTGGACCTTCATAAGCCCTGAGCCCTTCTGCACATCCTTCTCCTCCCAGAGGGCCGATTAGATTTGGACAGTGCCGAATGGGATGATATTCACGTGGTCACTGGAGCACTGAAGCTTTTTCTCAGGGAGCTACCCCAGCCTCTGGTGCCCCCACAGCTGCTGCCACATTTTCGTGCTGCCCTTGGTAAGGGATGAGAGCTTTGGGTAATACCCTTGGTACGAGGGTGGGGCATGAAAGGTAAAAAATAGAGATTCCCTTACATTCTTCTATTTCATCCTGAGTACAAAGATGGAAAATAACTTAAAAATTTTTTTAATGTTTTATTTATTTTTGAGAGAGAGTATGAGTGGGGGAGGGGCAGAAGGAGAGGGAGACACAGAAACTGAAGCAGGCTCCAGGCTCTGAGCTGCCAGCACAGAGCCCGAAGTGGGGCTTGAACTCGTGAACTGTGAGATCATAACCTGAGTTGAAGTCAGACGCTTAACCGACTGAGCCACCCAGGTGCCCCGATAGCTTTCAATTCCCGTGCCAACTCCAGTTGTTTTTTTGTGAATGGTTAGAGGGCTAAGTTAAAAAGAATGCTAAAGCTGCAGTTGAGGGGGCTGTCTGGCTGGCTCAGTCGTCAGTAGAGCTTGCGACTCTTGATCTCAGGTTGTGAGCTCGAGCCTCATGTTAGGTGTAGAGATTTCTTAAAAATAAAATCTTGAAAAAAATTAAAGTTGCAGCTGGGCTCAGTAAAAAAGAAAGCAGTGGTAGATTAATCGTGTCTTCCATGGGCATGGGAAAGAGTAGCGAGTTTACCCCCCTGCCTAAGGATCTTCCTTGGCCCCACCCCTATGCCCTTCCCTTCATTCTTTCTCTCTAGCACTCTCTGAATCAGAACAGCGCCTCTCTCAAATACGAGAATTAATAGGCTCAATGCCCACGCCGAACCGTGACACCCTGCGGTACCTCCTGGAGCATTTATGCAGGTCAGGAAAACCGAATGTCTTTGTGCATGCTGAGGGAGGGTGGAGTGGGGCAAGCAGCAGGGACCCTGTTCAGATGCAGTAAAGGTAGGAAACACCTCCCTTCCTCACCTGTTTAGTGGGCAGATGGAGGAAACAGGCAACGTCGAGTGGGGATCAAGAGAAGCCCAGGGATGCTTTGAGAGAAATGAGGGAGATTTAACCTCTCCCTTCCCTCTGCCTCTTTGTCTCCTGTTGGGACAGTGGTCATGGCTTATGTGGCTGACCTGGGCCTGGGTGGTGACTTCTGAAAGAGGATAGCCATTTGAATTAGAGTCTCCCAATCTGTGAGCAAAGAGGACTGTAGAGGCAGTCTCTGAAGCTGGGAAGAGGCAAACGGTTCCTAGGTTGTATCTTCAAGTTGTGTCCTGAAGCTTTCTCTACTGGTCCTGTCTCCTTTGCCCTTGAGGCTCCCCACTTGGTTTCCTTCAGCCACCACAGAGAGAGGTCCCAAGGCGAACTCTTTCCTGCTCACACCATTGAAGGGTTAGATTTATTTGAAGTGATGAAGCTGCTGCCTTATAGCCCCTTCTCTTCACCTTTGCCCACAGGGTGATAGCACACTCAGATAAGAACCGCATGACCCCGCACAACCTGGGAATCGTGTTTGGGCCAACCCTGTTTCGCCCAGAGCAGGAGACATCTGACCCAGCAGCCCATGCTCTCTACCCTGGGCAGCTAGTCCAGCTCATGCTCACTGATTTCACCAGGCTTTTCCGTTGACTGGTGCAAGGAAGAAGAGAAAAGGTGTTCCTCCTGATCTCTGTTGGGTGCCCTTTGGTGGGGGTGGGGATAGTGGGTGTTCTGTTTTGAGGACATCCCATTAAACCCTGTGTCTCCCATATGAGTGTCTTTGTGAGTCTGACCTGAGGGATTTGGGATGGGGCGAGGGAGCCTCTCTAAAGAGGGAAGTGGGTGGATTAAGCCCTGCTTCTCTTCTTTCCCTGTCATCACCCCTCCCCTAAGAGAGTAACTTGTAAAGCAGGGCTCTTTCTGATGCAGTTCCTTTATTATCCAGAAACAGTGTCATTATCAAATTCCTCCCCCAAACACATACAGAAGATGTACAGCCCCCACCCATACCCCCCATCCCTGGGGCATCCCAGGGGCTATGGCTCCTCCTCCCTACTTCTCTGTGGGGATGGAAACCCTTTAGGAAATGGATCTGTGATTACTGGGATTCCCCACTCTTTAGGCACTAGAGTTGAGGAATTGTGTCTCCCCAGGCAGGGATCCCAGTAAGATACTCATGTTGCCCACAGCCATGTTGGCGGGCCCAGAGGGAGGTGGGGTATGTTCAGAGCTGTCCCCTTGGTCATGTGAAGGAGGAGGACTCAGCCCCTGGGCCTCATCCAGAATAGCCACAAAGTCCAGCTGAGTGTTGTCAAGGTCAAGAGAGTCCAGAGGGTTGCACACCTGCCCTTCAGGAGGAGCGTACAAGGCAGGACCCCCTCCCAGCCTGCCCACCTCGGGATGACCACAGCTGGGGTTCGTGCCCCCTGCCTTGAGGGTCCCATAGCAAGTAGTCAGTGGGGGCAGAAGTCGGGGTGGTGCTGCTGCCCTATGGGAAGCCTTGTTTGCCCCCACTGCAAAATTTTCATGGCACGGTGGAGGGGTGGGATAGGAACCTGACTTGTGACTGGGCAAGTTAGGTGCAAAGCCAGGTCCATATGTGGCCAATGGGGCCTTGGCAGGACTTGCGCTAACCTGGGAACCCCCCAGAAACTTGGGACTCTGGTAGAGAGGTTCCTGGACTGGGAGATCTCCCCTGCCCCCACCCTCCCATAGCAGTTCCTGTTGAGACTGAACATAATTACACACAAGCTGAGCCTTGAGTTGTCCTGTGGAGTGAGTGGGGGAATCAAAATCCAGGCCAGACCTGGGTTCTGAAGAAAGATAATCAGAGGGTGGCTGGGTATAGGCACCTGACTGGGGATACTGGGGAGGGGGAGGCTGGGGGTAGTGGGAGAACAGAGGCTGTGGGCGAGGAGGCCCCTCACTGGGGTGGGCATTGAGGCAGGGTGCCAGTCCTGTGGAATCAGAACCCACTGGACACCCCTGTTCTGGCTTGACCTGCACTTGTCCATAATGTTCAAGACGAGGACACTGGCTGTAGACTCCAGCTGGAGCCTTGGGGCTTGGGTACAGCCCAGAGTGGGAAGGGAACTCACTCCATGGTTCAGGGGTGGGTTCAGGATAGGAGACCTGCTGGGGACAGGGGTTTGGCCCATAGTTGGTGGGTGGACCAGGCCCAAGAGGCAGGGAGCCTGGACCCCTAGCTCCATAAGGCTCAGCCACTGCCCCCTCAGGTCCCCCATATCCCAAAGTATCAGTAGGTGGGAAGTCCATATAGGGGGTTAGACCACTGCCTATCATGGAGGTCCCACCTTCTGGCTCCTCCCGTAGCCCTCTGGTGTCCATGGCAACATTCTCAGTGATGCTGGGGGGCTGTGGTGAGTAGACAGTGGTTGGGAGTTGGGGATCAAAGTTCCGTCCTCCCCCTGCCACCGTGGGGGGTGTGTGGACACAACCCAAGCTCTTGAACCGCTGGACTCTGGCTGGGGCAGGACGGTCAACAGCCCGGGCTGGGTCACTGGCCCTCCGGGTGACCCCTACATTGGGGTTGTATCCTGGATACTCAGCTCGGCTTCTCCAGGAAGGTGCGGGAAGATTCCCCATCTGATCCAGGCTGGCTGCTGCCGTGGGTGGGGTACCACCTCCCCTGGCTGAAGCATATCTTGCCCGGAGCAGGTAGTGCTGGGCAGGCGTGAGGCCGGGCAAAGAAGATGCCCCATTCTCTGGTGGGGAGCCAGGGGGGAAAGGGGAGGCCAAGGAGGAACGGCGGCTGACAGTATAAGCTGAACTGACACTGCTGGAGCTGCTGCTGCGGCGGTCAAGAGAAAGTGGGGGCCCCAGACGGCGGGACACAGGGGTGCCTACAAGTGATAAGGAGAAAAGACGGGATGGTCAGGGAGCCGTCTGCATCTCACCCTGCCTCCCTCATGGGGACAGCCTTGTCCCGGAATCCCAGCGACAGGCTCCTTAATGCTGACCAATCAGTTCTGTCTCCTCCCATGCCCTTTCTACATCTGGGTCACCAGGGATTCAGAACCACCATGAACAGTTGTATAGGTTGCACACTGCACAGCCCTAGGGGACCTAGGCATTCACATTATAGACTTTGTATATCGCAATTACCTGATAGATGGAAGGAAGCGTCTTGAGGAAAGGGGAACTTTTCCTAATTGTACAAAGGTATATAGGGCAGCCCTGAAGGGTGAAGTCCTCCTGACTTCAGAGGAGGTCCAGACCTCAGCCCAGCAACTATTCCCACACCCAGGTCTCACCAGTATGGGTCAGGCTGGGCAGTTTGAGGCCCCGGGGTCCTACTGGTCGAAGCTGATGTAGCTGGTCCAGTCTGAGGTTCTCAAGGCGGCGGAGAGTGGACAGACCGGTGCCAGCAATGCAAGGCCCCTCATCCAAGCTGGACAGGTCCTCAGTGCTACCCCCCGCATTTCCAGTCATTTCCACACCACTATCTGTATTAGCTGCACTGCCTGCTGGGGAGTGGTCGCTGCTGCAGGACGACTGGGCTCCAGGGCTGGGCTGTGGCTTCTGTGGGGAAAATGAGGTCTGAGGGTGGCCCCTCTCCACTTCCCCCCAGTTCCCTAAGAAGAGCCTAGACTGGAGCACAGACTGCCTGGGTTCAAATTCGCACTTAGTTCTGTGACCTTGGACAATTTGTCTATGCCTGAGTTTCATCATCTGAAAATGTGGAAAATAAGCCCCTTTGTCATGAAGTTGTTGTGCGTATATGAAATTATAAACATATTACATGTGAATCATGCATGTAAACCATACATAAATTAGAGTAATATACCAAGCCCCATATAAGAGTTTGTTAAACCGATTAATTAATTACACTAAAATCTCTCAATTTGGGGTAGCCCAAGGAGCACCACTGGCACAAGAGACTAGAGGACTGTGCACAGAAGAGTGATTTACAGAAGACATGGAAGAGTTGGAAGGGACTAGAAGAACGTGGGCCGGGCAGGTGGGGCGTGGAGGCAGGGGTCACCCAGGCCGGCTCACCACGGTGCCCTCCGGCACGGTCAGTCTGCTCTCTTCCCTGATGGGGCCTCCATCCCGCTCCCTCTTGGGCTCCACTGTGGAAAGGGATGATGCCCTGGGCAGGGGGCCGTCTCCTCGGTGCCGCTTGGTCACATGGGCATCAGGACCGTGCACTGTCTTGACATGTTTCCGAAGTGAGCTGGGATCTGTGTAGCGTTTGGTGCAGCCGGGGAGCTTACACACATACGGCTTCTGTTGAGTGGACAGTGAAGACAGCAGGCAAAGAAATCAAAGCGGGAGAGTGCAGAAGGAACGGGAAGCAGAGGTGGCATCGAGTAGGGACGAGGGGATCAGGGAGAAATGCACAACGCCCGAGGAACTAAGGAGAGCGGGACCCTTGGAGTGAGAAACAAGAGGGTCAAGGGGAAGATTAGGAAAACTGACAGCCCAGATCCGTGAGGCCTCATAAAGTCAGGAGTTGAAGGGACCAGGTGTCTCCTCCAGTTAGAACGGGTCTATTTAGGTTGGCCCTTTGGCTGGTTAGAGGTAGGGGGGTGGGGATGGTAAGTGGAAATTCTTGGTTTCAGAAAGGCCTTATCCAGGTGAATTAAGTTGTAGGGGGCAGGGGTGGGGTGGGGACTCACCTCTGTGGAACGGGTGCTGGGCTAAGGGATTTCTTACGGGGGAATCTCCCCAGTAGCTGGCTTCTCAAGTGGGGAGGGTCTTTTAGGTGGGGCATTCACCTCATTGGAGTGGGTCCGATTCTGGTGCTTGGCTCGATCACTGGCATTGCTGAAGGCTTTACTGCAGCCCTCGTGCTCACACATGTATGGCTTCTCACCCGTGTGTGATCGCAGGTGTGTCTTCAGATTTTCAAGGCGTGAGTATGACTTCCGGCACCCCTCAAACTAGGGGATGTTGGGGTCAAAAGATAGCTCTCAGACAGAAGGACATGGAGATTAGAAGAACTGTAAACCTCAAAAGGGATGTGCATTAGAGAATATAACTCAAGATGGGAGAGCAGTTCCCAAAATTCAGGGACAAGGGCAGGCAAGAGCTGGAGAAACAAGAAGCTAGGGACACCCTGGCTGCAGGGACACGGAGATGAGGCCATGAGCATCTCCTGGTCAAGCCGGAGCAGATCTCCCTGTACAAGGATCTGAGACTGCCTTAGGATGGGGTTATTCGGGGAGTGTATTACGTCCTTGACACAGAGCTTCTCCCTTCTCCGTTAGGTAGAGTGGTAGGCACAGTGCTGAGGGCCCAGAGTACTTTCAGGGGCCCACAAAAATGTTTTAACCTCTTTTATTTTTATTTCTTTATTCGAGAAAGAAAGAGAGTATGCACACTTGGGGGGAAGGGGTAGAGACGAGAGAGAGAGAAAGAGAGAGAGAGAGAGAGAGAGAGAGAGAGAGACTCAAGCAGGCTCCATGCCCAGTGGGGTTCGATCCCACAACCATGAGACCATGATCTGAGCTGAAATCAAGAGTTGGATGCTCAACCAGCTAAGCCACCCAGGCGCCTCTGATTTCTTTTAATTAAAAAAAAATTTTTTTAAGGTTTATTTATTTTTGAGAGAGAGAGAAAGGGCACAAGTTAGAGAGGGGCAGAGAGATAGGGAGACACAGGATCTGAAGCAGGCTCCAGACTCCGAGCTGTCAGCACAGAGCCCGATGGAGGGCTCGGACTCACGGACCGCTAGATCTGAGCCGCAGTCGGACGTTTAACCAACTGAGCCCCCCAGGAGCCCCTCTAATTTCTTTTAAAAGCAAGGGAAGAATAACTTTTAGGTCCAGGGAATGTCCTAATATGCAATATCAATATGTTTGTTTTTATACTAACACAGTCATAATATACAGTTTTTAAATACTTGTTTATGGAGGAAGTGGCCAATGAAGGCAAAAGTGCCTAGGATCCATGAGAGTCCTATGAGCTCTGCCTTGGTGGGGAGCCCCAGTTTAGGGAGGGACCCTGAGCTTGGAAAGTGGGTGCCTCACCGTGCATTTGTGTGGCTTCTCGCCCGTGTGTCTGCGCATGTGGACCACCAGCATATACTGGGCTTTGAAGGGCCTCAGCTCCCTGGAGCAGCCCCCCCAGTGGCACACGAACTCTTTCCGCTCCCCATGGATGTGCTCACTGTTGATGTGCTGAAGGAGGAGACACAGAGGCTCTCTGAGGTTCCCTTATGCCATCAAGATGCAAAACAGACCTTCCCTTGACCTCCCCATCCCACCATATTCCCCCAAGTCTTCACTTCCCAGGGGGAAGGGGCAGAGAGAACATCAGAGCCCGCCTCTCAGTTCTTCCAGAGTTTCTAAAACAAAGCTATAGCTCCTGAATTTCTGCCTGCTGCACCAGGCACTCAACCTCTGACCTCAGGATCCTGACCTCCTGCCCTTAGCCTGATTCCACAAGGTCCCACCAGAATGTCCTACAAGATCCAGCCAGCATTCCTGTTACCCCCTGGGGCTCACGTGCACCAGCTGCTCCTGGGAATCAAATTCCTGGCTGCAGCCATCCCAGCGGCAGTCAGTCTCATACACGGATTCAGGCTCAGGCTTTTCCTCTCTCTCCAGGTCCTCCCGCCCATCCAGCATCCCCAGCAGGGGATCCTAGGGCAGAAGATATGATCCTAGGGTCACTTAGGGTCACTCGGGTGACGGCTTTTGTTTAGCTCAGGCTTCAGAGGCAAAGTAAGCCCCTCTTACCTGTGTGCCTGTGGAGTTGGGGCTGGACATATCACCCTCCAAGGGCTCCTCTGGGCACTTGCTAACCATCAGGTCCAGCTCAGACTTCAGCTTCCCCAAGGGAAGAGGTGAGGGTGATGAAGGTAGAAGTGGGCAGAAGGAAGAGGGAGCCCAGCCAGGTCTTCCTGCCCTGAGTGCCCCCACCCAAGCAGCTGGAACCCCTGGGTTTAGAAGAGACTTCCTCCTCAGACTGCACTGGGATGGGCAAAAGGTGGGGGATCTCATTTGGAAGAGTAGGATTCAGCCCCAACATGTGAACCCCGGCAACAATACCCCTTTATTTCTCTGCTGCTGAAAACTTTTATATCCCCTGTCCTTCCTTCACCTTGCCCCATAAAGTCCACCACCACCCGCTCTGAGCTGAGGGAAACTGAGTGGCGACATGAGGACTCTCACCTGGCAAGTTGGGAGGGGTCCCCGGGACTGAGGATGCGGCATCATCCCACCCTGGGTGGGGTCATGGGGACCACAGGGCTGGACCCCGAAGGAAGGCGAGGTCCCTTTTTGGTGATTCATCTGGGGTGGGAATCCCAGAGATGGGCTGAGGAGGAGGAGGAGGAGGAGACGGAGTTACTTAGGACTGTCAGCTCAGAAAGTTGCAGGAGTTCTTGGGCTATTTGGAGTGTTTTGGAAAGATGGTATGGGAAGTGGCTGAGGCAGTTCCAGGGAAGCGCTTTGGAGGGCTTGAGGCTTTTAGTAGGGTTTGGTAGGGTCTTTAGGGGGGCCTCTTAGCCCAAGGCTATCTGCACCTCATGGTGCTGATGGAGAGGTGACCATAGGAGCCCCCGGGAGATGCACAGCGTGAGTTGATGAAGGCCACAAGGGAGCTGGGGGAGGTGCGGATAACTGTCTGCAGGTCCAGGCTGGCGTCGGACAGAGGTGAGATGGAGAGTGCCCGCTTCTTGGTCAACTTGACTGCACTTCGGGGAGGAGGAAAGAGTGTGGCTGGGGCAGGAAACAGGGAAGACAGCTATAGTAAATGGGGCGTGTGTCTCCATACACCCAACCCATGGGTCCTGATTCAAACAAAAAATGACACTTGACTCTGCTTTGCCCTACTGATGCCATCTGTGACTTCTTGATCATGCTCTGACCCCTTGCTCCGATCTCCAAGCATTTCCTCTTCCAAGTTAGAGCCCCTGCCCACCCCCCACCCACTCTTTTATTTGGGACAAGTCCCAGAGGGGCAGAAAGGGAAGAGATATTGCTTGAGGCCTCACCCTCAGTGCAGCTGTTGGTCTCCCTGGCTGGCCCATAACTGTGGGGGCCAGACATGAGGTTGGCCTGATGGCAGAAGGGCAGACCGGGCAGTCCTAGAAAAGAGAGACGGCCAGAATGAGTAATAGGAATGGGGGACACGTAAGGCCTCACGTTGAAACCCCAGGAAGAAGCCTGAGCTCATATTCCAAGCCTCTACGACAGGAAGCCTCAAATCTTCTTATGGATTGGAAACTGGCATGGGGTAGGAAATGGAAGAGGGACCCCTGAGGCTGACTGAGAGAGCTGCCAGTCCTCAAGACCCAGAGATTGGTATTTGCACTGACCTTCTGTCCCCATGCTGGGGGCCTGACTGGGGAGGGGCCGGAGACAGCAGGGCTCGCCATAGCTACTGACTGGCGGTGGGGTCATCGAGTTGAACATGGTGTCTCAGAGACGAGTGTGGGGACACTGCAGGAGGGGAAGGGAGACCTGCAAGTTATAAAGGCGGGAAGGAAACAGGGAAGGTCAGATAACTAAGTCAGGTATAGAACCCCAGGCAGAGTCCCTCTAAGACAACTGCCACAGGAAATCAAATTGAATCGAGCATCACACAGACAGGGTGAGGGTAAGAAAAGAAGTCCCAAAGAGGCAGAGGCACTCTTGGGGATCTTTGTGGGAACTGAGTGGGATCTTTGCCTGGGTGGTCTATGCGAGTGCGAGTGTGTGTTTGGGGTGGTGGGGGAATGTCATGGACTCATTGAGCCTATATGAGCCTCAAGCGATTTTATACCATGGGGCCTCTATTTCTTCTTGCTGTGACAATGGGCCAGCTTTGAGGGGTGGGATGGGGGAACTCATGCTGAGCATCTAACTTCAAGCGCTGGAAGCCCCTTTTCCTTTCCTTCATTTGTTCCAGCCCGGGGACAACCCGTCCACAATTTCTCCAGTATCCAGCAGAGGGAGCTCTCTCCACAGCCCAGACTGAGCAGCTGATTGGGGCCCGGAGGGAGCAAGGAAGATCTGCCTTTTTCTCTCCAAGGCAGAAACTGTGTATAGAAGGGGATAAGGTTTCTGAGGGAAGCCTCCCGGGTCTGTTGAGTACAAAGAGTGGAAACTGGTGTTATTCTGGGGTGGTTTGAATCTGGGCACCCATCTAATTCTTTTGGTCTATTTGGGGGAAACAGGAAAGGGACTGTAAGAGAAGGCTTTGGAAGAATGAAAAAACAAAGTCACCATCCATTAGAGAAGAGTTGTGAGGGAGGAGAGGGTGCTGCTGTCCGCTCTTCTCCTCAAACTCCAGTTTTTGTTCCACCCCGGGTTTTCTGGTCTCCCGGGACTGAGGGTGGGGTGGGGCGGGGTAGGGTGGAGAACGACCGGGAGCGGGCCGGCCGGCGCGGTGGGTGATCCCGGGATGCTGGGATTTAGGGTGAGGGCGGGGTAAGATGGGGAGCGGAACCCGGACCCCAGGACCCAGCCCAAGCTCCACAGCCTGGGTTGTATGCTTCCTAACTCCTCCTTTCCCTGCGGAGAGCTGGATCCCGCATCCAAGACCTCCCAACTCGACCTTGGCACTATGCAGTACTACACACATTGGCAGCTGGATGGGGGGACACTTCTCCCGCCTCCTTCCTCTATGACTCACCCAGGGGAAGGAGGCGGGGGCTTGCAAACGACCCCCAAACACTAAAGAGACTCCCCCAAACGTGCCTACTCAGTCACCTTTCAGTGCCACTGCCCAGCCGCAGGGGAGTCGCGATGTAAATGGGGCAACATCCCTCTTCGCCCACGCATGCCGCAGCCCACCCACGTCTCCCCTTCACACTAGTGACATATGCACTCAGCTGGGTTTCCAGCTCCCCCAGTCAAGTTTTTCTGGGGTGTGGATGAAAGCGCAGGATGGGGCAGGAGCTCCAGAGGGGTCTCCTGCTGAGCCTCTGAATCATCTCTCTCTCTCTGTGTCTCCTTATTTTCAGAACCCCCTCACCCCTGCCCCCAACTCCCCAGGAGGAGAGGCCCTGCCCCCTCCTCCTGGTCCCGGGCTCTCCTCTCTCCTGCCCCCTGTGCCTCCCCGGCCCACTCCAAGTCGCTGCCACAATGCAGGCCTCCCTGGCTGCAGATAGGCCTGGCTTTTCCTGCCCGCCCTGGAGCCCTAGCCGATGATGGTGGAGGAGGAGGCGGAAGGAGGCTGAGGAGAGGGACACATTCTTTTCTCCCTCCCTCCCCCAGTGCATCCAGGCTGGTGGTGGTGGCGCCTAGGGTGGGGGCACTGTTGCTGAGAGGTCCCAGTGGGGTGAAAGAAAGAAGAATCCACAAACTATAGGGACAGAAAGGATCAGTAAATAAAATAGCCAAGGTGTGTCTGGGAAAGGAGGGTTCAGGACACCTTAAGTTCCTGATTATCACATCTGGCTTCCCAAGGGTTAACCTCCAGACCCCTGGAACCTCCCTGAGGACAAGTGGTCTGTACTGCCTGGCTGGGGGAAGCTGAGGAAGCATCGGGGGCCCTGGGCCCTGCCCCCATAGGAAACCACCTTAATTCCGGCCCTTTATACCCCCCTGGAAATTGCTCCCACTTTCCTTCCACTAGATTGTAAAGATCTATGAAGATCTCCAGGTCACAGCCCCTCCCCAAAAACCTAACTCCCCCAGTCACTGGCAGGGGATCCCTTTCCTAATCCTATCCTCCCCAAAGCTAGCTGCCCAGGCTGGGATTGCTCTCTGGGGTCATCAGCCTGCCAAGAGGCTTCAGAGCGGGAGCAAGGGTGGCAGGGTGAAAGGTTCATGGAGCCAGAGGAGGGGGCCTCGGGCCTCTGGGTTCCCAGCCCGGGAGGTGTCCAACGGAAACATAGCAGGCAGTGGCCAGTGGTCCCAACAGTCCCAGGAGGTGGGGTCTCCCAAGTGGCTGGCTCCCAGCCGTCCTGGTGGTCCTGAGGTCAGAGGGTCACATACAAGGTCTCCCCTCAGCCTCCTCCTTAGCACCTCTGTCCACAGCCCTTTGGGACTCCGTCCACCTTGAGGAGTCTTCTAGGCCCACAACCAGGGACATTCCCCCTGGCCCCCTCCAGCCCCCCTTCCTAGTCGAGAAGACACTCCCTTTCCCCTCAGGAACACATGCACCAGGCAAGCACATCTGTCACAAGACAGGTCAGGTCTGCCCCAGTCCCCCATTGGTTTTGCTCTCATACACACCCCATCCCCACCCCACCTAGGGCTCTCTCCTCCATGTTCCCTCCTTCTAGAAAATAACACTGACGTCCTCCCAAGGAAAAGGCGGCTCAGGCCACACCTTGGAGCTCGCCTGTCTACTCACTACCACGACTCCAGCTTAGCTGTCCTTCCCAGCCTTTATCCCAACCTCCTCATGAGAAAGTGATGCTCTCTAAGGGAGATGGAGACAGACAAAGAGGCACGGTTGCCTGGAGACAGAGACACAGAGACTGTCAGAAGAAAAAAGATACAGAGGAAAGGAGATAGATATACAATGAAAAAAAAAATTCTTCAAACTTTCCATTCCCCACCACCCTAGGCTCTCCACCTCTTTGGCCTCTTGTCCCCCAGTGGTTTCCTCTGCTGGGCAGAGTCCCCTGCAAGCAGGGCATCCCCTCGGGCCCCTCCCCATCACTACTGTTCCCAGGTAGGTGGTCCCCTACCTGCCCCCTTCTTTACCCTCCCCCCCATGTTGGGCCTGGATGCAAAAAGGGTCCAGGGCTAGAGTCTGGGCTGGGGTGGGTGGTGGGAGGGGCGGATTAGGCCACACTGCAGCGCAGCCTCAGGCAGTGCCACCCCACCCCCCCCCACCTAATCCCACTGCCAGCTCCTCTGCCGGCCCAGCCTGCCGGGCTTCATGAGCCGGGGACCTCACCCGCGAGAAGCGCAAACTTTTTTTTTCCCTTTTGCAAAAACTTTTTCTCTCACACTACAGGGCTGGCGCTGCTGCCGCTGCCCTTCCTGTCTGCCTGCCTCTCACCCTCCCTTCTATTTCCTCTCCCTCCAGCTCTGGAAGATGAGGCGGGGTAGCTAAAAGCAAGAGAGGGGGTGCCGGGCTTATTGCACCCCCAGGACCCCCAGGATCCTCCCCCTCCCTTGAGGGACCCTATACTGTTTACTTCTCTGCTGAACACGCTGTTGGTGGTGGGCAATAAATCCCGGCATGGATCCTTGGAACGGCAGCCCACGAAGAGGCCCCCAACCAGAGCCTGAAAAAACTAAGAAATGTATTAGGGAGTGGCGGGAGGGGGGGTGGGGGCAGAAGCGACGAAAGAGTCCATGCGAGAAAGATAATATTGGAGGTAGTGTCGTCGACTTTGGTGCTAAACTGAGCATTATGCCATCCTGTAGTTAATCTGCCCGCCTCACTCTTTCAATGGAACATATGAAGGGGTTGGGACAGATTTGGGGTTTGGTGCAAATGGCACTGAAACAGAGTTGGCTTGTTAGTGAGGGGTCTATAGAGCATAAAAAAGAGAAGCAGTGGCTGAGGATCTGGGCGCAGAGTATGCGGTTCACAAGGCTACTGAGGAACCCTGGGATGGAAGCACTGTTCCTCTGAGAACCCCCGCTCTCCCTCGTCTCGAAGTTTTGGAGACTGCGGGCACCTCCGCACCTCCGTGCTGCCGGCTTCCTGCGCTTCCAGGCTGTCTGCGCCCTCTGCTGGCTTTTCTGGCACATGACACTCTCTCAGAGTCTGGAAGCGGAGTAGACTGGGGGAGCTGAAGAAGTAGGAGGCTTAACAAGTCCCCCCAGCAAAGCCGTGTTAGGAGCCCAGGGAGGGGATTGTACGAGCCCTAAGAAATGCAAAGGCACACTAGAAGAGGCTGCTTGTACAGAACGGTAGTGTCTGATAGGGGAGTGCCCCGTCCCTTTGGATTGTGTTGCCATGGTGACTGGATGCAGGGGAAGGGGCAGCTATTTTAGTCTCTATGACCTTTCTTTATGAGAAAGGGAAGAGAACATGGTGAGGAAAAGGAGTCTCTTCCTTTCCTGTCACCCCTCAGACAGACCTCCCACATCCTAGCTCTGCTTCCAAGAACCACCTCCTGGGGCCTGGAGACTTAGTAGGTTAACTGTTCAGACTGAGGGTCAAGGGGAAAAGGTAAAACTAGGGAGAGGACTGAGGCCCTACAAATATAGGTAGGAACTGTGGGGGAGCATAGCATGAGTCCTGTCTGACCCTCCCTCCCCCATATGAATTTGGCCCAGACATCAGTTATACACAGAGGGTCAGGCAACACCAATGGTCACTGGAGAAGAAGGTAAAATCATTGGTCACCCTACATATGCTCCTGTCCCAGCCATCTGCCTTTTCTTTCAGGGAAGCTTTTTTAGAGCACACTGCTTTTTCCTCTTCACCCAGGTCTCTAGATCAGTGATTCTCAAACATTTTGATTTCAAGACCTCGATACACTCTTTTTTTTTTTTTAATTAGGTTCCATGCCCAATGTGGGGCTTGAACTCATGACCCAGAGATTAAGAGTCACATGCTGTACCCACTGAGAGCCAGGCACCCCCCATTACACTCTTAACATTTATTGAATTTTTGTTTGTGTGGTTCATATCAATGTACTATATTAGAAATTAAACTGAAAAAAAAAGTTTGTAACACAAGAGTACACAAGCACACATCCCATTAACAATGATGTCAGAAAGATGATGTAATCACATGCCACATAGCCTCTGGAAAACTCCACCGTATACTTTTAAGAAAATGAAAATAAAAAAGGCAAATAACATCTTAGTGTTATTATAAAAGTAGTTTTGACCTTGTGAACACCCCTGAAAGGGTCTCAAGGGACCTTTCAGGGGTCCCTAGACCTTACCTTGAAAACCTATCCCTTTAGACTATCACCCCAGCCCTTCTTTATGACTCATACTTGTTGGGTTTTCCCCTCATTTTTATTAGGAAAGTATAAACATTTGTCTCCCCAGTGCGTCCTGTCCCCCGCTGGGAAAAAAAAAAAACAGGGAACTTCTTGGGCTCAGCACCCCTCTCTCCTGACTCCCAGTTCTGGGGCTCTCCCACACACCTCCTCTTAGCCCCTTGCCTATCTCTTTCTTGACGCTCCCTTAGAGCTCTTCCAAAGTTCCTACCCTTGGCCAGCCTGTTTCCCCTGTCCCAAGCCTGCTGGGATCTTGGTCTGCTTCTTCCTCCCCTCACTTGAGGACTTTCTCTTCTTGAGAAAGACGAAGTAATTTTTCTCTGCCTTCTCCTTCCCTCCCTCTGTCCCTCCCTCACCTCTGCCATCTTTTCATAGGGGTTAGAGTAAGCAATCATGCTTTCTGGGTAGATTCCTTTAGAGGACACACCTTCCCCATCTCCCCACACATCAACCTGGAATAGGCAAGAGTCTGGACGAGTACATGCCCATTCAGGTCCCCTAGGGGTCAACCCAGTCATACTGCCACCCCACCCATTGGGTGGGGCTGTGGATCAGGAATCTAATGTCTCCAGCCACAGATGCCCTTTGCCTGGGAACCCCCAACTGATCTCTTTACTCCAAATCCCCAGGTCCTCTTGCTAGCTGCAGCCGCAGGCCTCCACCACCATATCTGGCACATCTGTCTTGACCACATTGCCGTCACGGTCGAGGTAGAGGAGAGAGAGGGGCCTTCGGGCAGTAGGAACACAGCAGGAAGTACCCAAGGGCCAAGGGTTGTTGGCCTTGAGGAGGCTGAAGACAGCAGAATGGAAGGAGGCAGCAATGCCCGGGCTGCCTGCCAGGTGAGGGGGGCACTGTCCACTGCAGTAATTGAGCTGGTACCCCTCCGGCTGCAGGATCCAGTCCCGCCATCCCAGTTCCCGGAAGTCTACATAATGGTCTCGCCTGCAACATAAGGGGGTCTCGGGCTCACAGGTAGGGGTCCTCCTCCTGGTGCGGCCTGCTCCAGGCCCCTTGGGCCAGATCTTAAGCTCCAGGAAGGGCCGCTCATCTCCCGCCGTGTCCACGAGCCACTGTGGGGCAGCCGTGGCGTTGCCTCCTGGGAGTCTGCAGTCCAGCTGGAGTTTCAGGACAGCGGACGCCTCACCCCTCAAGCCACTAGAGGGCAGAGTCAGGGCGTGCCAGCCTGGGGTTGTCATCTGGTGCTCCGCCAGGAGGGTGCGCGACTCTCGGCGCCTCCTGCCTGGGTTCCACCTGAAGGTCCTCAAGGAAAGAGTGCCGGGAAAGGTGGGGAGCACATGCAGCCAGAGGCGGGCGTGGTACAGGTGCCGGGACTGAGCTGTGGACAGGTGGAAGGTGAGCACGGAGCTGCAGGCGGAAGTGGAAGGCTCTGCCAGGGAGATGGAGAAGGGACGGAGGAATGTGAGCAGAGCTAAAGCTCTCCTCGGAGACCCCCGCAAGCCCTACCCACGGCGCTCCCTAGCACCCACCCTTAGAAGAAACTGGGGCTGCCTTGGGTCCCCCGTCCTCCGCAGCCAGTCCCCGCCCCAACTTCTCCTCCCACACCCTGCGCCGTCTGCCTTTTCCATCAGTCTCCCCGTCCGCCTCCCTCTCCCGGTCTGCTCTCTGCCTCACTCTCTCCCTCACCCACCTGTGATGGTAGCAAAGCTGATGACCTCCTCCCCATTCACTGGAGCCACACTTCCTGGCTGCAGTCTCCGGAGGGCTCTGGTCAGCGCTGCCTGGGGTGGAGGGTGAGTTATTCTGGGACGACTGGTCAGGTGCAGCCCCTCCAAGATCTGCTGCTTGGCTAGCTCCAGGACCAGAGCACGTTCTGCTTGGGGCTCCAGTGTGGGACCTCCGCAGGAGGGACAGACAGACCCTGCCCCCTGTGCCCACACCAGTGCCCACAGCAGCACCAGCTGGCGCTGGCCATCAGGGAGCCCCATGCTCCTGGTGAATGGCCCTGGGTTGGGTCAGGAGCCTTGGATGGCAGTTGCTCCTTCTGTTGATCTGATTGCGTGGAGGCCAATGAGGGCACAGCAGAGGCAGACAGCGGTGCCACACCTACCCTTGGCCAAGGGTAGAGCCACCTGTCTTCTCTTTCCTGGGACTCAGGAAGGCAGTAGGTGGATGGTCCTATGGGTAGCTGAGTTTAGCGTAGTCTGCAGGTTTGACCCTCACAGCTCATGGCTGGTTACTGACTGGGGCCTCTTTAGAGCCGCAACCTGGGGTTCCCTCACCTAGTGGTCAGCCAGCAGACCTACCCTCTGAGCCCCAGGATTGGCCAGCTGTGCTGCCCATCAGGTCCTTGCAGGGGAGGGGGTGGAGGTCCCCCCCACCCCGCCCCAGCTCAGGTTTCACCATCTGGCCCTGGTCACTGAGTTTGAGGTGGGGTAGGGGGGTGGGGGGGCAATGTGGACACGCATGATGCAAGAAAGAGAATGATTTCACATGCTCAGTCCCCAAGGTCTGGGGCTCAGGGGAGGGACTCCATACGAGCTAGGTGGGGAGGGCGATTTTCCCCATACCTCTAGTCTTTCTAGCTTGCCCGGCCACCTCTGCTGCAACAGTTTTCATCAGACAGCTGTGAGTTCTGATGGTCATTTCTCCAGGATCTCTGGGCCAGAAGGAGAACTCTGGTCTCTATTTCTAGCAACGGGGTTGGGACAGCAAGGAGAGGTTGTGGGTGGGAGAGGAGCGGAGTCCTCCTGCCCAGGCCAAGGTGGCAGTGCCACGGGGCACGGAAGTCACCTCCTGACCCTGCCTGTGCTGGCCGCCCAGAGTCCAGTTGGACTGGAGCACAACGTGGAGGAGGGCTGGAGCACGGAGGGGGGTTGGGGGGGAGGGCATGTCGCTACGATGTCTGAGGAACCAGAGAGGTACGGGTGGTGGTGATGCAATCTTAGAGCAGGGCAGAGTCCATCAAGGCTGGCAGAAGGGCATGGGACTTGGGAGGGCCCATACCCAGCTGCTGGTTCTCTTTAAGGGGACTGTGAGAGTTGCCTAAATTTAGGACATCCTGGAAGTGGTGCCAGGCCTCTGTGAGCGGGGACAGGAAGTGGGAGCTTTAAGGACTTTTAAGAGCAAAGCAAGATGATTGCAGCAACCTCAGTTCCAATCCCAGCCCTCCTTACCATGCTTCCTCACTGAGTGGAAGGGCCATGGCCCCTCCACCTTCAACTTAGGGTTGACTTCATGCTAGCCTTTCTCTCCGTGTCCCTGGTTTTTTCAAGAAGCTAGAAAGCAAGAAGTGTGATTGGGAAATGTGCCCCTACTCCATTTGATTAATCTCCCCTCTCTTTAGCCAGTGGGGGCTGTCAAGGGACTATTAGACCTGGCACCAGGGGAAGAAAAGTGGTGCTTTGGGGGCTGGGCCTCAGTACCGCCGGTGTCCACCATGTGGCAGTGTGGCGCCACTGGACCGCAGCTGGCTTAGCGTTGACCAACTTCCCAGGGAATGGGCTGTTCTCAGAAGTGGGGAGATGCAGACGCTTCCCAACCTCTCATTCTGGGGACTCTGTCTCTCCTACAGCAGACAGAGAGGCTGGTCCGGTGCTCTCCCCTCTCTCCACTGCCAGAGAGCAGAAGCTGTCGTCAGGCCCCACGTCGCCGCTACCTTTGGTTTTAGACCTCGTCATATTGACACGTGGCAATGGAGCTTGGCGACGGGTGCCAGGCTCTTCCTAGAAACCCGGGGCACTGTGTGGTGGGAAGGGGGAGAGGGGACAGTGAGATGAGACTCTGAGGCTCTCCTCTCCTCCCTACGTGTCTCCCCGGGTCAAAACATATTCAAACCCCTCTGTCCAGTTCTCTCCCCGGCTCTCAGCAACTTCTCTGTTGGTTGAGGATGATGAGAGTGACAGCCCTCTGCTCCTAGGGTCTGGAACATGGAACTGCAAAGAAGATTCAGCCTACGCTTGGTGTCTCAGAGGGCTTACCTGTGGGTGCCAGGAGACAGAGTCAAGGGAAGCAGAACAAAGTGGCAGCCGACCCTATTTCTCCCCGACCCTCTCTATCAGGTGCCCCCAATTTTCAGCTCTTCCTATCCTCTTGCTGCTGTGCCTGGCCTGGCCCTACCTCCCCACTGACACTTACGTCAGAACCCAGCTATAAATATGCTCTTAGCATCTTAGTCACTTTCCCCAAGAAGTGCTCCCAGGTTATAAATACCCCAGCCATCTGCCTCACAGGCCCGCCCTACCACCAACCTGGTTGGGTGCTGGGGAGGGACAGGCTTGGGGGTGGGTAAGGAAGTAGAAGCCGGAGTGATTATCTTGCCCACATGAGAAAAACCCAACTCAGTCTGGAGTTAGGGGCCAAGAGGCTCCGGAAGAAAAGGTTCGGAAGAAAACAGACCCACCCTTTTCCCTTTTCCCAAAAGGCAGAGCCAAAAAGAAAGAGAGTAATACTGATGCCGTGTTTATTTTAAAATTTGTTATGTTGTTCATCATGGGTTTGGGGGCATTCATTTTGGTGTTTTAAAAATATTCCATTAAGATATTATTTATCTTAATTGATGAATTTCTTGACATCCCCTTACAATTTTGCCCCCCCAAGTGAGTGCCTTGCTTCATCTCACCTTTGTCTTGCCCCTGGAGACTGAAGGTGTAGTTGGAGGGAGAGAGGTTAGATCACAGTGGCTTGTAGGGAGGGGACACACTGTGGAAGGGGGGGAAAGAGGCACAGAAGACTTCCTTAGATGTTGTCCTTAGATGAAGATCTCCTCAAGGCAAAGGTGGCAGAGCTTCCATGGGTTGCTCAGGAAGCCCCAAGGCTCAGATTTGCAGGGCCCTAAGGACGTCCCTTTCAGGCTGTCTCTTCTAGGCTTCCTATTCCAGGGACCTCAGACCCTGGGAGGAGGGGGTTATAAGCTGAGCAAACACAGACATCACATTACCCAAAGGACACATGGGTTTTGCGCAAACTCGGCCTTGGGCTGCAGACAATATCGACCCCATGGTTCAGGGCTGTCCAGCCAAAGGGAGGGGATGATGAGGAAAGAAGGGCAAAGGTCTAGAGAGGACCCCGTCTCAGAGCAAATACCTCCCTGTCCTCATTCCGTGCCTTCCTTTTACTCTCCCTGTCCCATGCGAGTGGCCCTTGGCCAGTTCAGCTTCCAAGCACGTCTCCTGGATGGAGCCCTTGGGTTCAGTGAGGGAGGGCAGCCAGCTCTGAGCCGTGCCTCTGCCTCCCACCACAGAAGGGCTCACAGGTTGTCAGCCTGGTTGCTGAGTGAGCAGTGATCTGTCTCATCTCTCGGAGTGAGGATAGAGAGAGGAGAAGAGCAGGTAAAACCTAAGTCTTTATCGGCACTGAGACCAGCAAAGGTGGTTCTGGGAGGGGGGGAGGAGGGGGCCTAAGAAAGAAGACAAGGCAGCCTGGGGAAGGAAGAGGCATGAAGTATGGGATAGACACAACAGCTCAGCCCTGAGGAGCCTGTGTGTGAGAGAGAGTAGAAGTGCACAAGGCAGGCAAACTCTGTGTCATCCTTGGTGTCAGCCAGGGTCTCAGCAGGAGACAAAAGAACTATTAAGCTGTCTGCGTTTGTATCACGAAGGAGACTTAATAAAGAACTTATTTACAGAGGCAGGGTTAAGGGAACCAAGGAGGGATGTTGAAACTCCCCGGGACTAGCAAGCCCCTAGTGCAGAAGCAGTGATATCAGAACCTAGGCAGAGCTGGGGCCAGTGGCGAGCCAGACAGGAGTTGTAGGGACAGGCCGCAGCCACAGTCACACAGATCCATGGCAACTAGAAAGAGGGAACAGGAGTAAGAAATACCCTGGCCTCTATCACCTCCTATCCTTTGATCTCCTGCTTGTGTCTCCCCTTAGTCAAATTCAGCAGGAAGCCAGAGGCCAAAGGAGCTCAGGTGAGTCAGCCCCTAAGGTCATAGAACAGGGAAAAGAATGGATAAGGATGTGCCAAGAGAGCCTTAGCAGCCCAGCAAGGCAAATAAGAAAGGGGCTCAAGATACAGAGAAGAGTAAACCTCACTTTGGAAAACAGTGATCTAATCCCCAGTGAATCCAAGGAAGGGGCTCTCTGGTAATCCAGAAAATCGGGGAAGGGGCTTGGTCAGCTCATCCTGGAGTGACAGCCATCAAGCGGGAAGAGGGGGAAGTATTGTGGATTATGGGATGGATTAAGGGTAGGCTACGGATATCTCTGCCTAGGAACTAGATGTCACTGCCAATGGCTGCAGGTGGATCAGAGTCCCTGGGGTGGCAGTTGAGCCTGTGGGGCTTGCTGGATAGACTAAGCTTGAGGAGAGAGACTGGTGGTCATGAAGATGTACAGTGACTCTCTTTGGATGAAGATCTCCTCAAGTCACAGTTGGCATAATTTCCATCAGTTGCTCAGGAAGAGGGAGCCCTCCTTCTGGACAGAGACAGTAATGGGGCCATCTCTTCCTCTCAAGGAAGGGTACTTCCGGGAGGGCATGCTTGCCTACCCCACCTTGGGCTGTCCATACCACACACGGACTAACTGCACCCACAGGCCTCTACCACCATGTCAGGTATGTCAGTCTTGACAATGTTGCTGTCCCTGTCATAGTAGAGCAGAGATAGGGGGCGCCGGGCCGTGGGCACACAGCATGAACCCCCTCCAGCGGTGCCTGCCGCTGTGTTGGCCTTGAGAAGATTGAGCACCGCAGTGTGAAAGGAGGCAGCAATGCCAGGCATGCCTGCCACATGCAGTGGGCACTGCCCTGTGCAGAAGTTCATTGCATAGCCCTCAGGCTGGATGATCCAGTCGTGCCAGCCAATCTCACGGAAGTCCACAAAGAACTCTCGTCGGCAGCACATCCTTGACCCACCCTGGCAGTTGATGCCTCGCCGGTGAAGCCGGTGCTTGCCCCCAACTTTCACCTTGGCTGCCACAAAAGGTCTGTGGGCAGCCCCACCCAGTATGACCGAGCTCTGGGCTCCTTGGCCTTCAGGTACCAGCTCCAGGGTCAAGTGCCCTTGGCTGAAGGCAGCCTGAGCTTCAGGCCCCAAGAAGAGCTGGTGCCAGCCACTGGCATCCACCTCCAGCAGTTGCTGAGTGGCCCAGGTGAGGTTGGTGTCATGTGAGCCTGGCACAAGGATCCTCAGCTTCAAAGGTAAGGTGATGGTATCGGGAGGGAGCTGTACAAAGAACATGACGCTGGCCTGCTGGATCTCCATGGCACTAGCAGTTCTATCAGAGGAGAAGTGGAAGTCAAGACGAGTCTGGTTGATGTTGGAAAAGCCTGCGGACACAAGAACCCCTAGTCACTATGGTCTTCTGAGTGTCAGTGCTACCTCTTTACTCTCAGCATGCTTGAACTCCCTGCAGCACTTGGCATTGTTGACCACCCCTTCTTTATTGAAAATCTTTTCTCTCTTGGCTTCTATGACACAACTCTTATGAGTCTTCCTTGATTTTCTTTGCTGGCTTTTTTTTTCTCTGACCATCTGTTCAATGCAAGAGTTCTCCATAGTTTGTCTTTGACCTTCACTTCCTTTTACTCTACACTGAAGAGAGTTCTTACCCACATTCATGGTCAGCCAACACAATTTTTATGCTGGTGAGTCTCATATCTGGACGTCTAGTCTAGACCATTTTGCACCTCTGGACTAGAAATATGGACTTGGGAATCAACGGGGTGCCTGGATGGCTCAGTCGATTGAGTGTCCAACTTGGCTCAGGTCATGATCTAATGGTTCATGGGTTTGAGCCCCGCATCGGGCTCTCTGCTGTCAGTGTGGAGCCTGCTTTGGATCCTCTGTCTCCCTCTCTCTCTCCCCCTCCCCACTTTCTCTCTCTAGAGCTCTCTCTCAAAAAAAAAAAAAGATTTGGGAATCAACAACCTTCAGGTTTACACTTCTAACCGCTTAATTTTGCCACATGAATGTCCTGCCAGCACATTAAAATAAAAATTTTCCCAAATGGAAATCACTCTTTTCCTTCCTATATACCCCTCTTTCTGTCTTAGAATTGGTGGCACCACTACCCTCCTTATCACCTCTAGAAACCATATCCAGTCCCTCACCACAATGATTCTATGTATTTCTTCCTATCGCTATTACTCTTGTCCAATTTTCTCTCTTCATCCCTTACCTGACCTCCTGGAACACCTTAATTGGGTTTCTATTCCCTCCACTCCACTGAAACTGCTCTTGTCAGGATCACCAACACTTTCTACACTGCCAAATCCAATGGTTTCATCTCTTTATATTCATCTTATTTGACCTTTAAGCAGTGTTTGACACACTTAATCATTCCCTCCCTCTTGAAATATTTCCTTCTCTTGGTTTTTGCGACTCTGGCCACTCTATCTTGGTCTCTTACTGACAGCTCCTCTTCCTCTCCCTGACCTCTCAGTGTTGAAGGTCCTGAGCTCTCTTCTCTATCTATATTCTTTCCCAGAATGATCTCATCAATTCCCATGGCTTTCTATTCCATCTGTATGCTGATGACTCCCAAATATATATCCCTGGCCCTGACCTCTCCCTGATCCTCAGGTTTGTATATCCAGCTGCTGATCTGATATTCTATTTGGATATCCAATGATATCTTAAACTCTTCATGTTCAAAGATAAACTCTAGATTTATCCCACCCCAACCCAAACCTATTCCTTCTCCAATCTTATTCCCTATACATGCATTGCTTGAGGCAAAACCTTGATTGCCCTCATCCCCTACTTTAAAACTATCTGCAATATCTGACAGCTCCACCTCCAATTCATAATATAATTGCACTCATCCCCATCTCCTCTACTACATATTAGTTCAACCCACCATCATTTTTCTCTTGAATTATGGCAATAGCTTCCCAGATGGTCCACTCTTGTCCCCCAAATCATTCTCCATATATCAGCCAGCGTGCATTTTATTACATAAATGGGATGATCTCCTTAGCTTAAGGACCCTTCAAAGGCTTCCCATTGCTATTTGAATAAACTAAACCTCTTAGCACAAAAAAACTTGTACGATTAGGCACTCTGCCATTTAACGACTATATTCTACCTATACTGTCTCTTTTCTGTTCCATGAACTCACCAAACATGGATTCACCTCATGGTCTCAGCACGTGCTGTTTCCTCTGTCTGGAATGTCTTTCCAAGATCTCTGAAGGACTGGCTTCTTTTTGGCATTTAACTCAAATGTCTCCTTCTCAGAGAGGCTTTTCTGACTAACATATCTAAAGCAGCCTTCAACAATATGACCATTTCTCTAATACATCGTCCTGCTTAACTGTCTTTATAGCTACTACCACTCTCTGTAGTCATTTTTGTTTTTTGTTCATATGTTTACTATGTACTTCTCCTCCTCTTCTCTCCTCCTCCCTGCCCCACCATCTAGAATGTAAACTCCATGAAGGTGGAGATTGTGCCTGTACGGTTCACCATTCTCTGTAGTGTCTAGTACATAATAGGCACTCAAAACATGATTGTTAAATGAAAATAAAGTTCAACTAGGCTTCGTGTGAATTGGAAAGTCAGGAATAAGGTTGTTCTCGACAGCTCTCAAAGCCAACATGACATCTCTCATCTCCATCTCTCTAAGTAAGACTACTCCATTCCTCTCTCCCTGTGGATCTACTTCTCCTTTGTCAGTTTCCTCAGGTCCTAAAATGGTGGCCCCAGCTCCCGAGTCTACAGAATCTTTTACTCAGCTCCTCTTAGCTAAGAGACATGATCTTCTAGTGTGCCCCAATTCCCAAATCCTAGATGAAGAGTCTGAGGGGCTCAACTAATCTTGCTATGTCACTAAGCACCCTCCCATTAAAATCTCTTAATTTACCCTAGTTAAAGCAGGCAGACACATAACAAGTAGGGGCTATGGTAGGCTATTACAGTTGGCCCCCAATGAACAACACTTCCCAAAATTCATGGCTTGGTGCAGTTCCTTTCCACATTAAGTCTGGGCATGGCTGTGTGACCTGATTTGGCCAGTGAGACATAGGCAAGCACACAGTTCAAGCAGAAATTTGGTAAGTGCTTACACAATGATGTTTTGCCCTTTTGGAGGCCAGCCACCAGGCTTTAAAGAAACTTGGGCTAGACTACTGAATAATGAGAGACTTTGAGGATCAGACACCATCTTAGATGTTCCTGTCCCATCCGAGCTCCTGACTGAATGCAGTTGCTTCAGTGACCTTACCTACTCCTCAAATGGAGATGAAGAGCTGTCCAGATAAGCCCAGTCAAACCACACGATCATCAGCAATGTTGACTTTTTTGGTTTAAGCCTCTATGTTTGGGCTGATTAGTTGTATTAAGAGATAACTGAAACAGAAATTTGTTACAGAAGTAGGGTGCTCCATGACAAAGACCCAAAATATGTAGCGTTGGCTTTGGGACCGGGTGGCAGGGAGACGTTGGGAGGATGGTGAGGAGACTGTTAGCAAAGGTAGGAAGAACAGTAAGGAAATTGCCACTGGAAGCTGGAGAAAGGGGAACCTGTGTTATGTATTGGCTATCATCTGTGGTAACTTGGAAGCTAGAAATGGTATCTAACAAAGTTGTGAATTTAGCTAAAGATATTTCCAGGCAGAATGCTGGAAGTGCCAATTGGCTTATTTTAGCTGCCTATGAGAAGGCATTTCAGGAGTGACATGAACTAAAAAAGGAACTGTTCAATTTTCAAGCAGAATTTAGAGAAAATATTTCCAACAGGACTTGCTAGATTGAACAATAAGATATTTTTCCATTCCTCACCTCTCTGTCTGGCAAAAGGTTCTCAAAGTAAGAAATGGTCTCAGGGTAAAAATCAAATCCAGGGCATTGCCAGCAAAACATGGTCTCTGAGTGAAGATCAAAACATTTAAAAAAGGGTCAGCTGTAAGAGCCTTTGTTAAGATCTAACACCCTTGTTAAAATCTAAAATTTAAGATGATGTTCTGTAGATCCTCTCAACTAGACAAAAGGGCTTCGAAGGATCTTGAGTGTTGACCCACAATATCCCGCCTTGTAACCTAAAGAGGTGTCTGTCTTGATAAAGCTGAGTGTCTTTTGTCTAATCGAGTAGACTACAATTCATTATTTAGAAGACTCACAGGGTTTTACAGATAATTTTAGTAGTGAAAGCAGCACCAGTTTGGACTAAAAGGGACAGAGATGATTCAAAATGGAAAGATGTCTCTGGGCCCCCTACTTCTTTGGGCAGAAAGCAGGCTGAGAAAACTTCTCAGCTGCAGACACAGGTCATTTCCTATGTAAAAGGAAAGACATCTCAGAGGGTGGAGCCAAGGGCTGAGACAGTAGATCTAGAAGCCAAGGAGAGCACTGATGGGCTCTCCTTAAGAGGAGAGGAAATTCTTAGCAAGGAGCAAGACCCAGTCCTAACCAAGAGAATTCTGGATTTGGGGTAGACCGAGATATGTGCCTGGCTGGATATCAGAACGTTCATGGATCAGTGACTGTTCTGTGTCCCCCACTCCCCTGTCTCCCATATTGAAGAGGAGTATCTATTATGGTTATCCTGTCCCTGTGTCAGCATTGCATGTTAGGTGTGTGGCAGGCAGATAACCTGTATTTTAGGTCACAGGCAGTGGTGTGCTGGTAAATGTTTAACAACTGGATTCCGGAGGCAACTAAACCCTGATTTGTAATGTTTGCCAATTTCTGTGGTATAAATTCTCCCACCACGACTGATTTCAAACTATTAACATGACAACCCTAGATGCGGAGTTGGGAGATGTTTGTAATTTGTTCTCACGAGCCAGTAGGAGGCAGTTCCAGGACATCACTGAACGCCCCTACTCCAGTTTCTCCAGAGCCCCAAGCTCTCTCTTCCTATCTCCACCAAGAGCAACACTCAGATCTTGCTTTCATACTGTAGTGTAGATGATAGCTTAAATTGGAATAAAAACTTCAAGCTAACATATTGAAATGAAAAAGGTAGAACCCAGGTATCAGTTATTCTCACTTCCAAATGTCATCTCAGATCAGGCCCCCTTGGGCCTGAATGTTGTACTCATTCATTGATTAGCAAATATGTGGAAAGTATATAGACTTTGAAGTCAGAGAGAACAGTGTTTGAATTCTGCCCCTTGCAACTGTATGACCTTGGCCATGTAAATGATCTTCTTTGAGTGTCAGTTCTGCTTTCAGAAGATGGAAATAATAAAGTCTACTTTAAATGAGATGAGGCAGGCACACTAAATACCTGGTAGCTGACATTATTATCACAATGTTGCCAGGAACTGGTGTCAGGGATACAGAGGTAAAACAAACAAACAAACAAACAAACAAACAAAACAAAACAAAACACCAAACAGGATCTTGGTGTTCAAGGGAGCCATGGTTCGTTGTTATCTGTCTACCCTTGTGCTCATCCACTCCGAGCTACTTTTCAACTCCAAATGCAGTTTACTCCTTCAGACTTTTACTCTCCATTTACTGTGTTTACCATTCTCTACCCATTGAAGTCAAACTTATTCTACAATGCCAGTCCATTTGCAATCTTCTTTTGAAAGCCTTTCCTCTCTCGCTAGGACCCAATGAATAACCCCTGCCCCAGCAAGCTCTGTGCCCTCCTCTAGCATTATTTCATTCTGCCTTACTTTCTAATTAATTTATTCCCAGCAGCAACTAAACCCCTCATGCACAGGAGCTGAGTTTTCGATTTCTTGCTCTTTCCCACCTTAACCTTCTAAGAACATTACCTGTGTTACTTCATTTAATTCTCTCAACTATCCTCTCATTATCCCCATTTTATACGTGAGAAAACTATTAACAACCGAGGTCACAGAGTAATAAGCAGCAGAGCAGGGATTTGAACCCAGGTTTATCTGGCTCCAGTTTGTGTTCTTAATCACAGGCAGAAATCCCCTTTTGAATTAGAATAGGGTCTTATGCATCACTGATGATTCTACACTGTGGTCAAGCTGACTTATAGCATGGTTTGGTTGTTTAACGCAACCAATGTTTATTGGTCATCTACTGTGTTCATGAGAGGCAGAGTAGTGTGGTGGTCAAGGTCATGGGTTCCAGAGCTAGGCTGTCTGGCTCCACCACTTACCAGTCATAGGACCTTGAGAAGTTACTCAACCTCTTTTTTTTTTTTTTTTTTTTTTTTTTTTTTTTTTTTTTAAGTAAGCTCTACACTCAACGTGGGGCTCAAACTCATGACCCTGAGATCAAGAGTCGCATGTTCTACGGACTGAGCCAGCCAGGTGCCCCAATTACTCAACATCTTTGTGCTTCAGTTTCAGTATCTTTAAAATGAGGATAACAGTAGTACTTGCCTCACTGGGTTGTTGTGCGGATCTTAAGGAGTCAGCGTGTGTAAAAGGCTTAGAATCAAGTAAACATCATACAAGTGTTATTTCTACTATATGCTACCTTCTGGTGATAACGCGAAGAATAAATGACAGTTCTTGATCTCAAGGGATTGACATTTATGGGAAGACAGACTTCACAGAAAACCTGGAAACAGGCAATTCCACACAGAGTTCAGGTTCAGGGTGAGGGTATGGGAACCACGGGAGAGGGAGCCCATCACCTTCAGGTCAGGGTGGGTTTTTGAGGGTGGGAGCACTGGGTCTTGAAGGGACAGGGGAGTAGGTGCTGACCAGGGGAAAGGGGCCAGGAGTGGGCAGGATCTTCCAGACCTCAGAAAGAGCTTGCAAGAGGCTCAGAGGCCAAAGACATCACTTTGTGTTCTGTTTCTAGGGTCCTGTCTCCAATTTCTCGACCTTCTCTCTACGCACTAAATTCTCCAACTCCTCTTCCCTCTCTGGGGGTAACCCTCTTTTCTCCTCTATCTTTTACCCACCTTTCTGAATCCCATTTTGACCCTGTTCTGATGTGAGGACCCAAGGTATTAAGACGAGAGAACAGGGGTAGGTTGGAGGGGTACTGTAGTCCCAGTGTTCTACTGTTTCCCTTTTTACTAAAATGAGGCATCTGGGGGATGAGGAGAACAGAGAAAGGACAGACTCCCCAGATCCCAGCCTCAGGGGCCAGGCCGAGGAAGTAGATTAGCTCACACCACAGCCTGTGGAAGTTTGTGGGAGCCAGAGGACATGCAGACAGGCGGTCCCCAAAGAAGTGAATTCGACCCACTTCCCAGCTGCCCATTGGTGAAGTCTAAATAAGAGAGAGCAGGGGCGCCTGGGTGGCGTAGTCGGTTAAGCGTCCGACTTCAGCCAGGTCACGATCTCGCGGTCCGTGAGTTCGAGCCCCGCGTCGGGCTCTGGGCGGATGGCTCAGAGCCTGGAGCCTGTTTCCGATTCTGTGTCTCCCTCTCTCTCTGCCCCTCCCCCGTTCATGCTCCGTCTCTCTCTGTCCCAAAAATAAATAAAAACGTTGAAAAAAAATTAAAAAAAAAATAAATAAGAGAGAGCAGGAGGTAGGGTGGGGAGGGGTGACAGCCTGGGATTAGGAGATTATAGGCCATGGGAAGCAAGAGTAGGATGGTTTGGGGGAGGGGGACAGGGGTTAGGCTGGGAGGAGACGTTTCCTTTCCCAGAGAGGTCAGGTGGTTTGGGGAAGATCTATAGCATAGGAACCCACCTGTGTCGGCAAAGCTGATGATCTCATATTCCTGTTCCCTGTCAGCCTCCAGAAGTGTCCCCTGGGGGGGCCCATGGAGGTGCTGTAGCACAGTCTTCAGAGCAGCTCTGGACACAGGCCGGCTCAGTGTTGGGCGCTGGCTGAGGCGTAGCTTGTCCAAGATGCTTCTCTTGGCCAGGTCAAGTAGCAGCTCCCGCTGGCGATCCAAGTCCAAGGCAGGTCCTCCACATGCCAGACACTGACTGTCAGCTCTGGGAATGGCCGCTGGAGCCAGACCCAGGAGGAGGAAGGCCAGGAGCAATGAGGAGATCATTGCTGGGGGAGGGCCTCTTTGAGTGATACAGCTGAGGCAGAGCTGTAAAACTGGGGCTCAGGGTCTCAACAGCTGTGGTCTCAACTCCAACCTGGCCACCGGGGGCCCTGGAAGGAGAGTGTGTCCAGCTGGCATGACTCCTTGTTGCAGGGGATACAGCAGCCAAACATCTGACTTGGGAGATGAAGCCAGTTACAGGTAGAACTTGGCAGGAGCCTCGAACACATAGTCAGTGAAAGTACAGAGTGGGGGATGTGAGGGGAGGTTGGTTTGTTTGGGGAAAGAAATGTCCCCGGGCCAATGTTGGGAGGCAGTGGGTTACCCAAGTAAGCTGCCAGGCCTGGGGACAAAGGTTAGAGATGAAATTCCTCTTCAGATCAATAGCCTTGCTGGGAAGCCTGGAGGAAAAGGGAGAGATGAGAGGTTTTTAGGCTGAGTGTTAAAGGGTGACTGACTCTCAAACAAGAGGGGTCATTGGCATGACACTTCCTGTCACTGTCGTGGGGATAATTGAGAGTTATATTTTCCTTTGCCTGGTCCTTCTCAAAGCCCCATGCCCCTTTTCTCCCTCCCTGAGGTTCATAATGCAGAATCCTTTGTTATTCCTTCCCACCCCTATCCCGTTAGGTTTTACCCAGCTGGGATCCAGATTAGCCAGTATGAAGGTTAAGGCAAAGGAGGGGAAGTGTTCCAGCCAGGTCTTCTGTGTCCTCAGTGGGAAGTCTGAAGGTGGGAATGGGGCTTGAGTGCTAGATTTACTCACCTTTTGGGGATTTGTCTGTTTGGGAAGAGAAATTTTGAGATTTCTCAGAATCCCTGGTCCTCCAAAGGTCCTGACCAGTGGCTCTCCAGGGAAGGGCCTGTGTCCCCACAGTAGGGATTTACCTGGCAGGAATGGTGGGTAGAGTTAGGAAGATAGATTTTTTTAAAAACTAGATGACCTTGGTCAAAATTCTGTCTCTTCCTTTTATTAGTGGCGTGACTTTGGGCAAGTTTCTTGACTTCTCTTGCTTTAGTTTTTTCATTGCAGAAGTGGGAAAAATGGTTACCCATGATACCAAAATCCAAAAAAAACCCATAATCCTTTTTTTTTTTTTTTTGATAACTCATATGGTGACTAAGTCTGACCTGAACACAGGGGAGGTTATCTATGATTTTTTTAAAAAGTGTACTGAGACTATACATTTTTACTCCAAAAATATTGATTCTGGGATCCTACTCCTAGGGGTGTTGTGTAATATATAGCATATGTATCATTTTACCCTTTTAAAACTTGAAATTTTCTGAATTCTGAAACATGTCTGGCCCAATAGATTTTGAATACAGGATTATAGATCTGTAATGATTATCTCAGAGCCTTGAGATTTAAATAATTTTGTAAAAACACTTACACTGGCTGTCACATAGCAAGTGCTTAATAAAAGTTTATTATTTCTGCTATGTAGGTTTGTTTGTGGACCAGAGTAACCTGTACCTCTAGATGTGCTGAAGAAATTCCGCCACTATTAGCCCTTCTGGACTCTTCTTTCCTAGAAGCCATGCCCCCAATCACCATCTGCAGTGCAGTAACTTTTCAAGTCGTATCTGTTGCTTACCATTATATTACTAGCATTGCACATAGTGCCTGATCTATGATGTAGGTGTTTAAAGGTGTGGAAATTCCCTCCCCCCAAGTTTTATTGAGAGATAATTGCTACGCATCACTGTATATGTTTAAGGCACACAGCATATAACTTCTCTGTAGTTTACTCAATCTCCCTCACCTCTAAGAGCTAATTGCTCCTTCTGGCGCCTCCATAGTACATTGAACCTATCTCTATAGCACATACATGGTACTATAATTATTTGATTATTATTCTTTTTGCCTACTGGAGTTCTTGTGACATAGTAAATATTTAATGGTCGAATTCTATCACCGTAAGACTACAATGCTTCTCGGAGGGAATTGGTCAGTAAATGATCCAAATACATCTAATCAATAACTAAATTGATTTGCCTAGAACAGACAGAATGGGGGAGGTTGCAACTTCAAATGACTCTTGAGGAAAAGAACTCTATCTTGAAAGGAGGTGGTAAGTGATTTTAATAGGACGGACTTAAAACTGCTTTTACGTAGAGTTACGTTTTCACATCTGGAAAAAAAGGACATTCACCTACTACATCTTTGTCCATTTATACCATAAACATTTATTGCACATATTGGGTGCAAGATTTACTGTCCTAAGTGAAAGGCTATTTTGACAGTGCTCTGTACACTTAAATTACTTCACAGTAATTAGTATTATGTTTTAATCTTGGGTGAATCTGACAGGCTTGATGGATTTAAGGTGGACTGAGGATCGCAGTGGATCTGGATTGCCGGCTTGAGACACAGGTAACGCGGAGAGAGCGACAGAGAGAGCGAGCGAGCGAGCGGACGTGTGTGCCGGGGAGGAGAACGCGAGGGCAGGCTGGGTGGGTGACCAGGTAGGGGGCGTCTGCAGCGGTGGAAAGGGGCACAGAGAAGCGGGGACGCGCGGGGCGCAGGACGCGCTGACGATTACGCTAGACGTGGTGACGTAGCGCGCAGGCCGCAGCGGGGGGCGGACTCTGGGCCTTTCTTCCCCTTCTGATTTTCCCCCTCCCCCCTTTTCTCCCTTTCCGGGTTTGGTTCCCCCCTTTTCTCCCCCTCTCCCCCTTCCTTCCCAAGCCCCTTTCCCCTCCCCCGCCCCAGTCCCCCCTGCTCCCCCGCCCCGGGCCCCGGGGAAACCCCCGCCGAGAAGAGCCCGCCCCCAGAAGCGCGCCGCCGCCGGCCGTCGGGGCCGAGCCGCAGCCGAGCGGCCGTGGGCCCGGGCGGCGGGCGGAGACGCGGGCGCCCTCCCTGCTACGGCCCGCGTGAGGTGAGGCCACCTCCCGGCCGAGGGGGCGGGCGGCGCGGGCTGCCCGTGGGGAGGGGGCGTGGCGGCCGCGCGGGCTGGCGGGCGGAGGCCCCTGGCCTGGGTTCCCCGCGCTGGAGCTATCCGGGCCTGGGGGCGGTGGGTCAAGGCCGGAACCCACCGTGAAGGACGGCCCTGAGGCCCGAGACGCCCCGAGTGTGCGCGGGGAGCCCAGGCGAGAAGCGGAGGAGTGGGGGGCGCGGGGAGGGCGGGGGGCTGGCGCCACCTGTGGCCTGTGCGGTGGGAGCTAAAAACTGTTGCGCCCTTGTAGTGCCTTGGGGTGACTAGCTCCATGTGTTTCTTGGGTCTCCGTTTTCCTTCGAGCGTTGGAAAAATGGGAGGGAAAGGTGTTGGAGCGTTTCGAATCATGCTGGTGTCCGAGTTGTTGGAGGACTGGGCTCCGACTAGGAACATACAGGGAGATGTTTCTGGAGCTTAAAAGTTGGGCCTACATTAGGCTCATAACTCACCCTTGAGCTTTTTAAAACTCTTCCTGATTTTGGTAACTCCACAGAGTATTCACTCAATGAATCGTTCTTGGATGAGGATGAGACACGTGTTCCAGGTTTATCGAGAAATAATTGACATACATTATTGTGTATGTTTAAGACACACAACATTATGGTTTGATTTACGTGTATTGTGAAATGACTATCGAAATAGGTTCAGCTAACATCCATCATCTCGTATAGATACGATAAAAAGAAAAAGAAAAGATAAAAAGTGTTTTTTTCTCCTTGTGATGAGAACTCAGGATTTACTCTATTAACAACTTTCCTGTATATCTCATAGAAGTGGCAACCATAGTCTTCAGGTACATTACATCCCTAGTACTTGAGTATCTTATAACTGAAAATTTGTGCCTTTTGATCACCTTCCTAGAATTCCTCCTCCTTGTACTCTCTGCTTCTGGTAACCCACAAGTCTGATCTCTTTTTCGATGACTTTGGTGTGTGTGTGTTTAATTCTACATATAAGTGATATCATACAGTATTTGTCTTTGATTTTAAGTGCCTTCCAGGTCTACCCATGTTGTCACTTATTTTTTATGGCCGACTAATATTTCCATTATATATATATGTATATATCACCCAACTTTATTCATCCATCTGTGGACACTTAAGTTTTTGGTGTGGGAAAATTTAAATTCAGATCCCAGTTGGATGAATGTTCTTGTATACATTTTTTTCAAATAGACTTAACTGAAATTGAGAAGCCTGAATCCTGTCTGATGGTGGTAGGCAACATGGAGACTGAAGAAGGAGGTGACATGTTCCACTTAAGGAGTGTCACACATTCCTAACATTTTATTGTATTTTTGGATAGTCAAATTGGCAAATTAATTGTTAGTGGATCCTCTTTCTTTCTCATGTATTTTTTCCATTTCCTTCTTCCAATATTTCCTTTTTTCTGTCAAGACAAAAATGATTTAAATTGGGGTGCAAAGTAGTAGGTTAGTTAATTCAGTTCACTTTTTAGTTGTGTTTTTCTTCCCTCATTGCTGATCCCAGAGGTTGAGAGGACAGAGAATCTGTGATGCCTGATGAACTGTTAGCAGAAGTTAAATTTCAGAGTTGCAGTTCCAGCTGTCTTTGTGTCCACTGTAAGATCTATATTGTAGATCTCCGCAATTTAAAGCAAAATTTTAAAAATTTACATATGTAAAAATAGGGTGTCTGATATTTTTTAATGGAAAAGAGTCCGAAGAGGAAATAGCTTCCTTGGTTTTCAGAATAAAAACCAAAGACTTTACAAATGTCTTTAAAGCCCTGGATCTGTAACCCTCTCCCCCCCCCCCCCGCCCCCCTCCTGTGCTCTCCTGGCTGTTCTTGAGCACACCAGGCTCACTTCTGCCTCAGGGGCTATGCACTTACTCCCCAGACCTTCCTGGATTACTGTTTCTTTTTACAACTGCATTGCTTTGTCCCCTCACCTCCTTCAGGTCTTTTATTCAACTGTCGCTCAAACAGTGACATTTCCTTGGCTTGATAAATTTGCAAAGCAACCCCCCCCCAGCTATTTACATAACTCCTATCCCACTTCTCTGCTTTATTTTCCTCCTTACCACTTAGCAACCTATAACAT